ATTTTTATAATTTAAAACTTTTAAAAGAAAATTTGTTTTCCTCTTAATGGGGTGCTTTTTATGATTCTCTCCCTCTTAAAACATTCATTTTTAAAGCTGCAAAATCCCACATTGTTGAACATTAAGCCTAATTAATTGAGCCCTTTCTTGGGATTGACTTGTTAACGTTATTAATGTTGACATCTTGTGGCCACCGTAGGTAACTGCATGCCAAATCAGGAGCGATGCCTGTCTGCTGAACTGCAAACCACTCCTGAACCCCCCCCCAAACACACACACACACACACACACACACACACACACACACACACACACACACACACACACACACACACACGGTTCTACTGTTCCAAGTACTAGCAATTATGAGGGCCCTACCTCCAAGTAACTACATCTCGGAGGACCCGCCTCTGTCTTCCCCGAAGCTTTGTGAATCCCTTTCCTGACTGACTCTTTCCCCTTCTGGACACTGCCAGGTGAAGCCGTTGGCCCCTGCAGGCTCTGACGCCCCGCGGCTCTGTCCTCTGCATGCCAGTCCAGTGATGGCACGCACTGCTGTTGTCCTTAGAATGTGGTTTTGAAGAAATTCTTTGATCCTTGAGTGTTTGTTTGGTTTGAGTTTTTGGGGTTTGTTTTTGTTGTTGTTTTGTTTTGTTTTGTTTTTTTATTATTTAGTTCAAGCCTTCCACTTCAGTTTTCAAGCAGGATGTGTGTTGTTTTCCTTTTCATTTGTAAGAGTCTATCTGTCGACCAATTGCCTGTTCTACACAAGGTTTCCCCTTAGGACTAGGACCTCGTGACTCAGTCAGGCTCTCCAGGGGGCAATAACTGAATTTATATTGCACTATCATCAAATATGTAAGTGGAGCTAAATGGCTATTTCTTTGAAAAAGCTCTAGATGATTAATTTACTAGTAAAAAAAATATTTCTAATTTTGCCTTTGATGGAAGACTAAAAGTGAAAAGCAGTCTGCAGAAACTCACCCATCGGATCTGCAGTTCCCACTTCAGGCCTTCAGGATCTTTCACACAGTTGTGATCCAGAGTCACAAATGACCTCCTCCAGCTGAGCTTGAGCCCCTCCCTTCTTCTTCCCTTCCTCTCCCTCCTCCTCTTCCTACCAAATCCTCCCTCCGTCTGAGGGTAGACATGGAGATGAGCTTGCAGAGTGGTCCTTACCCACACCTCATGATGGCCCAGCGCTGCATCTGACCTGTGCAATCATTTCTTCCTGCAGCCCTCAGGGGGAAGGTCTTAGAGCTGGAAGGTGACCAAGCCTCATCTCTGGGCTTGTCTCTTGTCCCTACTGCAGGAAGCTAAGGTTCCACTCAATCCTGAACTTGGATTTGCTACCAGTGAACAGGGACTTGAGGACTACCCGCCTAGCAGATGATGACACTGTATCTCAGGAAAGCAGCCTCTACCTTGGGCCTAATATCTCCAGGCAACCACCGCACCTTCTCTGAACATTTGCCCTTCCTCCTACCCCTGGTTCTTAGCAATGGTGTCGTCGTCATCATCGTCGTCCTCCTCCTGCTCCTCCTCCTCCTCCTCCTCCTCCTCCTCCTCCTCCTCCTCCTCCTCCTCTGTTGGTCTTTATCCAAAAAGTTGTGAGGCCCTGTCTTTCTCCAAGGCCCCTCTAGTCCATGTCTTACCTCCACTCTTCCAAACACTGCCTTAATTCAAAACCCCATTGTCTCTCTCATTCTCTCTGATTCCTCCACAGCAATCTTTCTAAAGAGAAATGATGCACTTACCTCTTCGACCTCTTTCAAAAACTGACTATCACCTTCAAGACAAAACTCATGTTCCACTGCTATAAAGACAGTATTCAGCCTTAAAGCTGCTGTTGCAAACAGCATACAGTAGCACAGGGTAGCCCAGAGCATACAAAAGCTTAGTGTAGCTCAGAGCAGGCCCATCCTGGTCTCCTCACAGTGTCTGTTGTTGTGGAATATTAGTTTAAGATGTGTTACATTCATTTATGCCATGGAATATTTGTTTAACGATGCAAAGTGCATTGCATTATTTTATGTTACATTTGTTTAACTCTGTGAAGCTGTGTTACTTTGCCTGCCTAAAACACCTGATTGGTCTAATGAAGAGCTGAGCAGCCAATAGCTACACAGGAAAGGGATAGGTGGAGCTGCCAAGCAGAGAATTAAAAGAGAAAGAGAAAGAGAGAAGAGGGAGGAGCAAAGAAAAAGGAGGAAGAGAGGAGGATGTCGGGGGCCAGCCACCCAGCCACACTACCATCCACAGAGTAAGAAGGAAAGAAAGGTATATAGAATAGAGAAAGATAAAAGCCCAGAGGCAAAAGGTAGACTGGATAATTTGAGAAACGCTGGCTACAAACAAGACAAGCTGAGGCCAGACATTCATAAGTAAGAGTAAGTCTCCGTGTATTTATTTGGGAGCTGGGTGGTGGTCCCCTAAAGAGCAAAGAGTAAAGAAAAAAACCAACTACATACAGTGTGTGATGTCTTTGGTTGTCACAAGTGGAAGGCTGCCCACTGTCATTTAATGCTGACAAATAAGGCACAAGACAGCCCTCTGACCGAGAATTACCTGAACCAAAATAATCAAGAGTGCTATATTAAGAACCCTTCATCTATGGGCTGAAGAGATGGCTCAGCCATTAAGAGCACTGGCTGCTCTTCCAGAGGTCCTGAGTTCAGTTCCCAGCAACCACATGGTGGCTGACCACCATCTATAATAAATAAGATCTGATGTCCTCTTCTGGAGTGCAGGAATACATCCAGAGCATTCATACATAAAATATAAATAAATAAAATTTCAAAAAACAAACGTTGATCTGGAGTCTGAAAGGAAAGCCCCAGTTCTGCTGCTTGGAACTGTGTGGACTTGCCATGAATAATGCCTCATATGTAACACCAGAGAGTGGTGACAATTAAATAATAAAAAGCATGAAGGTCCCTTATAATGTTCTGAGACAATACTGAGGTATAGGTGACGTGAGTTACAAGCTCAGTTCTAAAGTGCTCCTGTCCTTTTAGGGACTGCATCCCATGTGTGAGAGGCACAGGGTTCATTTGTATCCCCATCCTCCAGTTCTGTGTGCGCAAACCTAAAGATTTCTGTACACTAGCCAAGTGCTCTATTACTGAGCTGTACCTCCAAGCCCTGGGTTTTCTCTTGCACACACACACACACACACACACACACACACACACACACACACACGACCTCATGGTAGGTACTGACATATCCTGGAGACAGGGATTAAGATGCCCTTTTGATGGGAGTGAGAATGGGCCAGAATTGGTTGCTATGTAGGCAGATGGTTTTAGCTGTAACAGAATGTCTTCCCCAGATAGGAAAATGAACCAACTCCACCTGCCTAGCTTTGCCCTTGGAGACCCAAAGCACACGTTACCCTCACCTCCCAAGACAGTGACTCTATCTTAAAATAAACTAGCAAGTTTTTTTTTAAAATATTGATTCTGTAGGCTATGGAGATGGCTCAGAGTTAAAGAGCACTTTCTGCTCTTCCAGAGATCTGATTCTCAGCATTCACATGATCTTTAACTCCAGTACCAGGGGATCTGATGCCCTCTTCTGTCTTTCATGGGTAATGAATCATGGGTGCACAGACATACAGGCAGTCAAAACACCCATACACATAAAATAAAAACATTTTTTAGCCAGGCAGTGGTGGCGCACCACTTTAATCCCAGCACTCGGGAGGCAGAGGCAGTCGGATCTCTGTGAGTTCGAGGCCAGCCTGGGCTACAGAGTGAGTTCCAGGACAGGCTCCAAAACTACGCAGAGAAACCCTGTCTCGAAAAACCAAAAAAAAAAAAAAAACCTTGCAGTATGGAAATTGGGACTCTACCCAAAGTAGACCAAATGAGGCTCTGAAGCTGTGCCCAAGCATGTCCATTTTAAAGCCCTACCCCAGAAGCTCTGGTTTGGTAATGTGAAGTATAGCCTGGGCATTGGTGTTGCCCAAGGTCTTCAGGTGCTGGAGTACATAGCCAGACTGGCACCTGCTAACAAAAGCCTTCTCTGGCCACCTCAAGGAACTGTGAATATCTTGTCTGGGTCTTTGTCTATGGGGCTCCTTTCAAAGCCCATGGCCCATCTGAGAGTCACTGGGGAAACTCAATGCCCAGGCTGAACCTGGCTTTCAGTCAAGATGTCTATTCAGGGTCCTGACATTAGTGACTGTGACTGTTCCCCAAGGCGACTTCAACACAGAGACAGGCTATTCAGTCTTTGGTGCCAATGGTTGCTTCTTGAAGTGTTCTCCAGCCCAAGTTAATCTACATGAAACCTACTGTAACCTACTTTCTACAACTCAGAGCGTTTAGCTGGGGGTAGCCTTACACCTACAAAGCTGGGGAGCCGTTTTTCCTATTACAATATCTTACATATGTCAAAAAAAGAATGAGTAGTTGAACAAATCAATGGAAATATATACATTCATTCTGTCCAGACTTTTCCTTTTTAATTTTTTTAAATTATGTGTATGTCTGGGAGGGGTTGTGCATGTGAGGGCAATGCCTGAGCAGGCCAGAAGAGGGCACCAGTTCTCCTGGAGCTGGAGTTACAGACCGTTGTCAGCCACCTGAAATGGATGCTGAGAACCCAACTCAGATCCTCTGGAAGAGCAATATGCACACTTAATCACTAAGCCATCTCACCTGCCCCATTATTGGGACCTTTATTATCACCTGGATGACATCATGATTGAGTCAGTTTCGAAGACTCACTAGAGGTAAAGGGATTTTTGCAGTAACGAAGTAATTGTAAGATCATAGATCCTCACTTAAATAGAGGATCTGGCATCCCAGGTTGGAGGCAGAAACAAAAGTAGGATTTTTTTCAGAGGCACAGTGGTGCATGGCTGTAATCCCAACATTCAGGATGCAAAGCAGTAGGGGGATTTTCATTCCAAGGCAAAGCTACGGCTCAGAACTGCACATTGTGCCACATGGAAGAAAATTGGGGGAGAAACAGCAACGCCAAAACATCCATAAACTTCTGACATTTTTATTACATAAACACAGCTTTGGACAGGAGCATTGGCCTTGTAGGGCCTGCTAAGCAAGGGGCTCTGAGTGGAGGCACTGAGTTCTTCGCAATTAGGATATCAACAAAAGCTGATCTCACTTCAAATACTATTATTTTCAAACACTATTTACCCCCAACGGGTAGGCCCCCATCACTAGTTCAATAGTTTTAATATGGTATTTCTTTTAATAGAGTTCTGCACCCTACTGAAACAAAAACTGTTTGGGGCACAACCAAGATTGTTCATTTCTTCTAAGACCTACAATTGATGAGAGCAGGGCCTGCGAGGCCACATGTCTGCCTGATATGTCACTATGTGTTGATGCCCATGACCTGCTCCACAGCACGGGTGTCATCCGAGGGAGGTTTGGGGAGGTCCAGGATGGTGGTCGACCTGTTCCTGGGATTCCCGGTAACCAGCATCCAGTGATTCTTGGGTTTTTCAACTCTGTGTGAATCCAGATGTGTGTGAGCTGCAACCTCAACTTCCTTCCCAAAATAGGTCCTGGAGAAGAAAAAATGGATTCCAGTTAGACACTGAGTGACAATGCTCATGAACATTTGCTCATCACTCCTAGAAAACTCTTCTTGGATCAGTCCACTTTACAAAGCCCAATAGAGCCCCTAAATTGTGGTGCATTTGCAGGAATGTTTCACCCATTTGCAGAGGTTTAGCACATAGGTTCCTTTTATGGCCAACATCCTCCCATCAGGGAGGACTTTACTGAATAACATCAAAGTTCTACACAAAGCAGAATTTCAGCATCATAATTCATAATTATGATATTTAAAAGTATCAGTTATAATTCCAATCAATAGATAATGCGTGGGCAGTGTAGGTATCTCTAGTAAAGTATTTCTCAAATATAATACATTAAGTTTCTTTAGTGTTAAAAATAAGTATTTGCAAAATGAAGTCTGTTGGATTTTAAATTTAGGCCAATCAAGATTCTAGGTGATAAACATATGGACCACTCTTGAATTTAAACTAAATTTTGTCTTTTGACTGTCTTAATCAATTTTATAACCTCTTTCTGAATTATAAAGTAATATATGTCACTTGACAAAATAAGATATTTGATATGCCAACTGAGTGGTTATCTTTGTATCGTAGAGCATAAATATTCAAATAATGTTGAGCATTAACAAGTATTTTCACCTATTGGACTGTTTAATGTTCCTAAGAGTAGATGAAATCAACAATAAATGAAAACAAAAATTGGACTTTACTTTTAAATAACTTTTTATAAACCTTGGCAATAAAAATAAGTCGAATGTCCTTGTTCTTAATTCAGCACCTAAAAATCTTTACTTCGAATGACTAGACATAGACTTTTAGTCAACTATTTCTGCTTTTACATGTATGACCTGAGCCAACTATGGAATTCTTCTGTACCCAGCAGTGTGATACCTTAAGAAGAGATGCCGATGGGCCACCAGGGCTCGGTTTGTGTGGCGATGATAGATAACAAGTTTTTCATTTGCCTTTATGAGACAGGAAAAGAGGGTACTATTAGCACTCTGTCCGATTTCCTAGAAGTAAAAATCTAGAAATATTTATTTCAGTGTAATACATATATAACCTACAAGGCTGGAGGACCATGATGGGTTTGATAAAATGCATCATGGTAGACAGCTACATGGTAGAATAATTATTCAAAGTCATGTTGAAGAAGATTTGACAGCATGAAATATGGCTAATGATGTTAAGTATGTGTGTGTGTGTGTGTGTGTGTGTGTGTGTGTGTGTGTGTGTGTGTGTGTACATTCAGCAGTTCCTATTTGTGTGTGTGTGGTATGCATACATGTTTGTGTGGGTATGCCTTGTACATGTGTGCTGACACATGTGGAGTCCAGAAGTGACACTGTCTCTCCGTTGTATTCCACCTTATTCTTTAGGAAGGATCTCTCACTGACCCTGGAGATGATCGACTAGACTGGCTGGACAGAAAGCCTCAGGAATCCCCCTGCCTCTGCCTCCCAGCACTAGGGTTACAGGGTACATTTGGCCTCGCCTGCCTTTTACATGGGTGCTGAGATCCAAACTCATGTCTTCACACTTGTGCAGCAGTGTGCAGGCCCCTACCCACTGAGACGACTCCGTAGCTACTCATGGTGTCATTCCGGAATATATATATATATATCCTGATATGTATCCATATGCATAGAAAAATCATAAATAAAGTGGTTGCTTCTGGAAGATTGAACTAACCCTAGTGATTTTAGTATTTGTACTTTAAGGACTCAGAAAGTGAATATGTATTGTGTTTATAATTAAAAAAAATAACTCTCTGGGGACAGGGAGTGGGCTGTATACCCTAAGCTAGCCTAGAACTCATGATCCTCTTGCTTCAGATGTGAACCACCACAGCTGGCCGAAGAAATTTTATCTTATTACCCTGACTCTTGTAAGATGGGTACTGCCAGAAGGAAAAAGGGGTAGCCCCTAGCACGTGAACTCACCTGGTACCCAAAGCTATGCCTTCCTGTAACAGAACTCACATAACCAAACTCCACATTAATTAAGGCCAGTATGCTCATAATGGTCTGGACAGGACCAAGACCACCCCAGTCATATATGAAACAACGAAACATGAGCATTGACCATGCCAGAAAATTCCCAGCAGATAGTATGTATACAGTGTTCTTCCTGCACACCAGGAAAGGGCACCAGATCTCAATATAGACAGTTGTGAGCCACCATGTGGCTGCTGGGAACTGAACTCAGGACCTCTGGAAAAATACCCAATGCTCTCAACCTCTGAGTCATCTCTCTAGCCCTTCTTTCTTTCTTTCTTCCTTCCTTCCTTCCTTTCTTTCTTTCTATCTTTCTTTCTTTCTTTCTTTCTTCCTTTCTCAATAGTCTCAGTCAGCTCCTATCTGCTCTCCCTTGGGAAAGGAGTTCCTGTCATGCTCCGTTGTAAGATCTCCCTCACCTTCTTGTCAGCTTCCAAGCCCCAGCAATGCCCCACTACTGGAACTGTCTCCAAACCCATCTGACCAAAATCTCCCGGCATCCTTTCTGGCAGCACTTGCATGAAGCACCCCATTTCCCAATACACATTTACCCTCATCTCAACAGCTGGTGTACCCAGCCTGTTCAGCCATAGGTGCAGCTGGAGGTCTGCTGAAAGAGCCATGGCATGTGGGAGGTAGTTTGGGTTGGTGGGGGTGGGAGGGGGTCGCTAGGGTTCTGGGCTCTCTCTTTGGCAGATATACAAGCTTGCCTAGTGAGGTTCAGAGACCTACCTGGACCACAAGTGAATCAGCCATGGAGCAAAGAATTCCTGTAGCCACACTACTCCTACAAAGAAGCACAGCCACACCACCAGACCACAGTGAGCTGGCTGCTGCTCGTGTGAACTAACCTTTAGGTCCTCAAAAAACTCCCTAAGGAGGTATCGTGAACACCTCTAACTTACAGGGGCACTGACAAGACGAAGTGAAGACTGTGCCCGCTGCCATCCTAGGAGAGGATAGCTACAGAGAAAAGTCTGCCAAGCTTCCTTAAAACTGAGGTGGCCATCCTCTACCCTGCACAACTGTGAGAGAGCCTCCGAGAGCTGGGAACCCCTGCCAGAGCTTTGAAGAAATGGACCCACTGTGTGGGGCAGACTCAGAGGCATCTGTGACTGTAGCCCCTTCAATGGCCACTCCAAAAGCTGCTGATGCTGGGTACTCCCAGTGATTCCTATTCAGTCCTCCCTCTCCGTGCAGCAAAGCCTTGTTGAGAGGCAGAGGCAGCAAGCTTGCTCTGTGACCATGGCAACCTCCCAAAAGGATCGTGCTCCGTGCTCTGTCACAGTTAGTCCAGAGTCTGAAGCAAGAGTGATGGGGGACTGTGCCTGCTTCAGTCACCTGCTGCCTCCAGCCCTTCCCTCAGCTTCCCAGGATCTTTTGAGATGAGAACTGAAGTCAAGCAAATGGTGCCTGTTCCGAAACTTGGAAGGACAGAGAGTTTCGGGCCAGCCTGGGCTACAGAGTGAGGACAGAAAGAGGGGGAAGGGAGAAGGGAGAAGGAGAGATGATGGGTGATGGTGCTCTGCATGCTGTGAATGTGTTGTTCCCATTGGTTGATAAATAAAATGCTGATTGGCCCGTAGCCAGGCAGGAAGTATAGTATCGGCGAGATAAACAGAGAGGAGAATTCTGGGAACAGGAAGGCGGAGTCAGGAGTCACCAGCCAGACACAGAGGAAGCAAGATGTGAAGGCAGAACTGAGAAAAGGTACCAAGCCACGTGGCTAAACATAAATAAGAATTATGGGTTAATTTAAGTGTAAGAGCTAGTCAATAGCTAGCCTGAGCTAATGGCCGAGCAGTTTTAATTAATATAAGCCTCTGTGTGTTTACTTGGGTCCAAGCCACTGCAGGGCTGTGGGAGCTGGGCAGGACCAGGAAAACTTCAGCTACAGGGAGGAGAGAAAGGGAGTGAGAAGGGAAGGGAGGAGATAAAGGAGAGCAGAAGAGAAGCAAATGGAGGGGAACAGGTGGGGGGTACATAGAAAGAAAGAGAGGACAGGAAGAGGGGGAGAGGGAAAGGAAGAAAGGGAAGGGAGGGAGAGGAAGGAGGGAAGGGAGGGAGGGAGGGCAGGAGAAAGGGAGAGAAAGAAGAAGGAGGGTGGAGATGGGGGAAGGAGGGAGGCTTCTACAGATCAGGTTGGGAAGCCATATTGCATGTGGGATCTCATACAGAGCTGGCAGCCTGTGTTAAGAGGTTCCAGGGATCCTTGGTCTTGTACTGCTCTGGGGGTGATTCTAACCTGCAGCCAGGGTTGAGAGACAGGAATTCCGAGTGCTGCCTCAGCACAAACCAGTGCTATCCACATTTAAGTTACAAATGGAAGAACAAGAGAAAGTCTTCTTGCTACTGGAGCTACAGCAAGCCTCCACTTGACTGACAGGTGTGAGTCACAGCCCTTCCTTTCACAGGCCCCAGGCCCCGATGTCCCAAGCTCACCTTGACTGGAAAGCCTTCATATTCCAGGCGCAGCTGGGGATCGAGGAAGGTAGCCTGCCAGCAGTTCAGATGGGAGACCTCGTCTGTCAGAATTACCTCCTGGAGCCAGGACTTCTTAGAAGACTTCAGAAGGGTCCTGTGGTCACTTGATAAATACAGCTGCAAACGGCACATGATCTGAGTCACGGCTACCGAGAAAGCTGGGGAATGGGTGACCAATGCACAGCAAGCAGGCACAAAAAAACATCTAGAACCCTGTTCCTACCCATCCTGTGAGAAAACAACTCTCCCCATCCTTAGGAATATATTGTCAGAATAGTGTTTCCCCCCTCTTTCCCTTCCTCCCTCCTTCCCTGTACCCCTCTTCTCTTTCCTGTGATTGTTTGAATGAGAATGGCCCCCACACTCATATGCTTGAATACTTGGTCCCCAGTTGGTGAGACTGTTTGGGAAGGATTAGGAGGTGTGGTCTTATTGGGAGAGGTGTGTCTCTGGGGGTGGGTTTTGAGATTTCAAAAGCCCACTCCATTCTCAGTTAGCTATCTTTCTGCTTCCTGCTTAAACATCAGCTATGAGCTCCCAGCTTCCAGTACCATCTCTGCCCTACCTGATGCCATTCTCCCGGCCATGATGGTCATGGACTCTTGACAATCTGGAACCGTGAATTTCCAAACTAAGTGCTTTCTTTTCTGTTGCCTTGGTCATGGTGTTTTGTCTCAGAAACAGAAAAATAAAACATTTTCCATACTCCATTTCCTGTTCGCCTTCTCTTTCAAAACATGGGACCTGGGTCTGTATCTTATGCACTGTAAATAACATTGCTGAACCTGGGCACCTAAGATGAAGTACTTTTCAGTCTGGAGCCATCACAGCTGGCACTTGCTCATGACTCTACAGTGACCCTGACCATCTGGAATCCATGTTCCCATTGGGAATGGATGTCAGCTGCATGGATACACTTTCTCAAGAGCCGTCCCATCCTGCTAAAGTCCAGAATGTTCTCTCGTTGTTAGCTCTTTGCTTGTTTGCCTTCACCTTGAACATGAATGTGGTTTCTCTGTCTTTTAACAAGGTTTTAGTGTGTTTTAAATTTTTAGATTTATTTTATTTATGCGTATGAGTGTTTTGTCAGTATGTACACATATGTGCTGGGTACATTTCTGGTGCCTGCCGAGGTCAGAAGAGGGCTTTAGATCCTCTGGGACTGGTTGTGAGCCACTGTGTGCCGGCTGAGAAATGAACCCAGGCCTTCTACAAAAGGAACAAGTGCTCTTAACCATTGAGCCACCTTTTTGGCCCTTTGTGGGTGCTTTTTATCCTTTAAGTGGTGCTTGAGGTACAACAAACAAGGCATAAGTGAGTTATAATCCTCTGTACATTTTCTACTCAGCAAGAGAGGCGATGGGCTGTGGATAAGAGCTACCCTCTGGATGTTGACTGTCCCCCATGGGACTGATGATTCCCAAGATGGCATTATCAGGATAAAAGGCCTAGTAAAAGCATCTCCTATGTTTAGAGGTGTTCGGCAGAAGCCAGATCAAACCAGTGAGGCCTGGACCACGGCTGGCATGGAGAGTGTAAAGAGGGCTGGTGTATACTATGGAGAGAGAGAATGAGCTGGATCTGGGTGGAAAGGAGCTTTGCTGCCGTGACATTCAAAAGCAGACAGGGAGGAATAACAATATCAAGACCAGTGCTCCAACCATGTGAAGCGAGTCATAAAACCTGATCAGGAGCTAAAAGCCTTACTGAGAGAAGATGAGAGATGCCTTACAAAAAGCACTCAGTGTTACAGTGCCAACCAAACACAAAGTGACTTTTCCCTGCACAGGCAGAGGGATTGGAAAAGATAATTATTGCGTTTAACTCAAAGATTAATTCCTAATGTAATCCAGACAAAGAGAGGTAATGGGAAGAAACAAAGATCTGTCAAAGTGTATTACGGCGCTGTATAATTACAACACTACAGTCCTGGAGTAAAAATAGATGACTCTGGTGGATCAAAATAGAACCTTCAGGAAGAGTTTATGGTGCATAGGATAATTTAATATATGCTTAGGGAAGCACAGTGTGTCAGGAAAAAGAATTAGTCGAGAGCTAACATGTGAGATGGACGATCATTTGGGAAACTCGGGTGCAAAACCCTTTACCAAAATAAATCTCAAGTGTATTAAAGAATAAATTTAAACAAATATCAAACTGCAAATGTCTAAAAATTAATACTTGCTTTTCATCTTATCAGATCTCTAACAGATTAAACCTTAAGAGCAATGGAGGGACTAAGGAGCTGACTCACTGAACAAAAGCTGTTCCCCCACAAGCCCGATGGCCTGTGTTTGCATCCACGGGGCCCACATGAAACAACTAGAGTGTACATCTGCAGTAGTGTGTACATCTGCGACCCCAGCAGTCCTATGGTAAGATGGGAAGCAGGGAGGAGAGAATTGTCTGCAATCCCGTGGGCCAGCTAGTCTGGAATACACAGTGTGAGACAGAAACAAGACCCTGTCTCAAACAAAGTGGGAGGTGAAAACTGACTCCTAAATGGTGTCCTATACACACACACACACACACACACAAAGAAATAACTTCAAAGGAAAGCTGATAGATTTGTCTCAAAAATACAATTAAAATGACTACAATTTAAAATACAACAAATATGAAAAATCAAATCACCCATAGAAAGGGCAGAGATGTTAAGGGAAGAGATGCAAGCCCGAATCAGGACAGAGACAAAGAACACATGGTTCCCAGGGCAAATGAGGAAGAAAAATGAGGATTATGGGGGGAGGGGCAAAAGTACAGGGACAGGAATGTTGAAAGGAAACAGGTGCTACAACATTTACATACCCTTTCCTGTCTGTCCATAAGATCAGCAAAGATTTAAATTAGGATGTTTGACACGCTTCAGGGCCACTTGTACTTACTGTTACTGGGAGTACAAATTGGCATAATCAATTAAGAAAGAACTGGTTATATTGGTTACATGTTATCTTTTTTTTTTTTTTTGAGACAGGGTTTCTCTGTGCAGCCCTGGATGTCCTGGAACTCACTCTGTAGACCAGCTGGCCTGGAACTCACAGAGATCTGCCTGGCTCTGCCTCCTGGGTGCTGGGATTAAAGGCATGTGCCACACCACCACCCAGCACATGTTATCTTAAGAGAGAGAGAGAGAGAGAGAGAGAGAGAAGATTTCACTCTGTAACATAGGCTGGCCTGGAATTTGTGGCATTCCTCCTGCTTCAGTACCCCAAGTGATGAAATTATAGGTGTAATACTTCTAATAATTGTATTCGCATTCTTGATAGCAGTAAATCTGTGCCAAAAAAAAAATCTATTTGGAAGATCGACTCACTAACTAGAATTTGAAGGGGATGAGTTTTAAGCATTGACACATATATATATATACACATGGAACTTTAGATGTGATAGAAAATTGAATAACAAATCCAATTAGCTGGGTATGATGGCACACACCTGTAATCACAATACTCAGGAAGCTGAGGCAAGATCACTAGTTCAAGGCCAGCCTGAGCTGAATAGTAAGAGCAACAGAAGAGGGGAGAAAAAGAGACTGCCTGAGCATAGAATAAAGGCTGGGTAACTATAATACTGCCACACAGTCATATATTAGGCATTCCATAAATATAATTGTTAAGAAGAACTTTGAAAACCCTGGAGCAGAAAGAACCTGGGTGTTCATTATGATCACAGCTGAGTTTTGTGTTTTCAAGAAGACACATAGAAAAGCACAAATAGAAAAAGCCACATGCTGGTGTGTTCATCTCTGGGTGCTACACCCCTGCCTCGATTACTTAGTGTTTCATTTTTGCATCTAAACTCAGGCTGCAGATCGACACCTATGCATGGCATGGTTTGACTGGCACCAATGGTTTGGCTTAGTGGTGCCAAAAAATGATGATATAGTGTTACATCAGGCAATACTGGAATCTCCCGTTGGTGTCATTTTTCTCGAGGCTGGCGTCAAATCCTCGCGAGACACAGCTTGCAGGGGGAAGGGCTTAGCTGGGCTCCCGGTTTCAGGAGTTAGTCTCTCGGTGGGGAAGACTCGGCAACAGGAACAGCTTATGGCTGTGTCTGCGCCTATGGACCAAGGAGCAGAGAGACTGGGCCAGAACCAGAAAGAGGTATAAGGCCTTTCCCCCACTGCAAATCACTTCCTCCAGCTGGTCCCCAACTCCCAAAAGAGCTCTGCCAGTTGGGAACTCAATGTTCAAACACAGGAGCCTATGGGGCGACATTTCACATCCAAACCGTAGCAGTGCAGACAATCCCAGCTCTGCCATCCAGTAGCTGAACGTCTATGTTCCCAGTATTCTTATGTCAGAGACCCCATTTGAAGAAGAAAAACGGAGTTAATATGTGTGAAGCAATTACGGCATTGCCTGGCATGGTGCTCAAATTGTATGAGCCACTGACTCAAACGGTTAATTTACACAAATCCCTGTTACACAGCGTGCATGTGAAATTCAGGCATGAGTTTATCTGGTTCTGCTGTGCATTTTGTTTTGTTGCGAGAGGTCTCATTCTACAGCCCAGGTGAGTCTCAAACTTGAGGCAATGCTCCAGCCTCAACCTCTCAAGTGCTGGGTTTATAGGTGTGTGCCACCACACCTGGCCTATTGTACTTCATTATCTCCAAAGTAAAAGAGGATCTCGGAGGCTCACGCTTCCCGGCTTCTGCAAACTCATATTGTCCTTATTGCTTCTTAGATAAAAACATGTTTGTTAATCAAAAGTTTAAAATGCCAGAGCTGGACACAATGGTCCATGCCTATAGTCCTAGATATTTGGTAGGACACTGAGACAGGAGGATCACTTTGAGTCCAGGAGTTCAAGATTAGTCTGGGCAATGTATATCTTGCTGGTATTGGTGGCATATGACAATTGTTAGTTAACCCAATCATTTAATTTACTGTTTGAAGTGGTATCAACTTTTGCCTTTTGACAGCTGCATTGTGAAGAAGACTTTGTTGTCTTCACTCCTTAGCTTTTAAGGACAGGGATGCTCTTTTTTTATTTTGTTACTTACGGTTAAGAGGAAAGAACGAGGTACAAAATGCCCACTGGAACCCACAGACTGAATCCACAGTGACAGCAGAAATGGAGTCCACCGTCTGCACAGTCCCTTCTGGAGGTAGCTATTGGCTGTCTTGGTAAACAAGAATGATAGATGACCGTAGGCATGCACAAGAAGACTCACCGTCTTGCATTCCAGCCCTGCTGGTATCCCGAGGCAGAAGTTCTGTCCGTATCTAAGGACTGGGTCCACAGCATCGCTGTTTGTGCTGTCCCTGGAGGGTTGGAGCAACAGGAGAGAGTGAGGACTCTGCCTTACCATCATTCCTATGCTTTTCTTGACAGCTTATATCACATACTGTACTAAATAAAATAACAAAAGTTCCTCTCCGGTCTGTTTTATTTGCCAGGTAAAGACCTCAGTCATCCGAGATGATGTCAATCTGAGACACTGATGAGAATCATGTGCTGGAACCCACCATCAATTTGTGCAACATTAATTGAAATATTCTTGAGTACCAACTAAAAGGCTTTTTTTTTTTTCTTTCTCATGTATTAATCTATTCATGTCTTTGAGAAATGTGTGGTTTTTTTTTTTTTGTTTTTTTTTTTTTTGGTGTTTTGAGACAGTCTCACACTGAAGCCCCAAGCTGGCCTTAGACCCACCATGTAGCCCAAACTGACATGGAACTTGGAGGAATCCTCCTGCCTCCGCCTCCTGGGAGTGCTGGGGTTACAGCTGTAAACCACTATGGCCCCCTGTAAAAGTTCTTTTGTTTTAGCCTCAACAGCCAGCTAGTGTGAGCATACTATCCCCTACTCTGCCCCACAGGTCAAACCCAGAGCCTCCCCATTCTGTAGCCCTTGACCGGAGTGGACTAAAGCATGTCCTGTCAACACAGGCCGAGAACTTCTGTTCATGTGCGCTGACGTTTTCAGACAGAGCCAAGGTTATACCTCTGCAGACATTGAATACAATGCCCTCCCCCCATAACCTTCCAGGGACAGAAATGGTCATCAACTTGAAGTTGTTTTACCACAAACCATCTGGACTCAAGAAAAATTCAGTGAAGGCTGCAGAAGGCAGGCTCTGTCTTGTCACTGCAGTATTGTCACAAAGTCCTCAGCAGAGGGAAAGTGGTGGCTTTAGTTGTTATTGTGTGTCTCTAAGGGTGTTGTGGGTCCTTTCCAAACTCTCAGGTCAACTGTTGGTAGATGACTGATTTTAAAAGAGTAGAACCCACCTCCTGTGGCCTTTTGTGAAATGGCGTCTTTGTATTGTGAGGCTAATGTAACATCCAGAAGAACTCGAGCACTCTGCTGAGCACAAAGCACCCTGCAAACACTGTTGGGGAAAGCCTTCTCTGCTTCCCGGCAGAATAGATGTTCAGTTCTCTGGATCTGACCATCGTGAAGCAAATGTTTTGAATTGAACACAAATAGCTACTTAACCTGTTGTCTTGGGCCAATAGGCGTGTAAAGGGCCCTCGGCAATAGTTCTCAGGTAAGTAAGCAAGGTATGACCTCAGAAAATGTTCACATAACCTTTGCCTGCAACCATGACTGCCTGATTCCAGTGTGTGTGTCTGTGTCCGTGTGTGCGTGTGTCCATCTGTCAGTGTTTGTCTGTGTTTATTTGTGTGTGTGCCCAGTGGTATTCTTTGGGAGCTGTTCACCTTTAAAAAAAAAAAAAAAAGACTGTCTCATTTGGCCTGAAATTCACCAAGTAAGCTAGGCTGGATGGCTGGCAAGTCTCAGAGGTCTGCATGTCTCTTCCTCCGCAGTGCTGGGATTGCAAGAGTGTGCCCCCACACTAGTCTTTTTTTAATGGAGTTTCTAGGAATCCCACTCAGGTCCTCGCACATATGAGGCAAACACTTCCTTACTAGTTTCTCCTCATCTCAGAGATTTGTAAGCTACAAATACCAAGCAGATTCTGCAATGCTGACACTGAGCATCTCTACCTCAGAATGGTGAAGGTGTTCCTGCCCGTCGGGGCGGTGGTCCGCACAGCACTCACACCACAGGGCACTTCCAGTTCATCACATATCTGGGCTTTAACTTCATCTGGGCTCATGCACAGGCTCAGGTCTCCTTCCTGAAACAAGCCAGCTTCCTCCCCCTGGGGGTGGTCAGGATTCACAAGGATCACTTTATCGCCATAGTGGGCAAATCCATCTTCGGTTACCGAAAGCTCCATCTACAATTTGAACAGGAATTTTCCAATAAGCCAATCAATTCCTTAGCTGCTGAGACCAAGGCCCCTCCCGAGTGTACCTCCTTTCCTTCTTAGACTGACACCATTTCAATAAGGCCTTCCCTCCCTCCCTGCTTCCCATCCTTAGTGTCCTCCCTTCCACTTTATCAAGAAAGTTCCCAGTGACCCTAAGCAAGGTCAAGCGAAGCTGTTGGAGTTCACACAGGTTGGTTCCATTCTCAATTCATTCAACACTTGCTAAAGATTTTTGAGCAGCAACTGAAAGGCACTTTACTTGGGCAAACATTAATCCATCCCTTTACAGGCAAACATAATTAAGTAAACATAATTAAGGGCATATTTCCCTTATGTTTCTAAAATCTTGGAGGATTTTAAACAGTGTACTTTTCAGATTTTTAAAGTTTCCAAAATGGTTAGTTGTTTATAGAGATTTTCCTTGCTTAACTCACACTGAATTTGACAGCAGTTTCAGCCTGGAGTGGGAATTAGACATTACCGGTCTCAAGATGTTCTTTTTCAGCCTTCTGTTCCTCTGTATAAGAAGTTCTCCCTTCTCCCTCTTGTCTAGGAAATCTTTCATGCGCTCCTGGGAGGAAGAGACAGAGTAAAGGGGAGTCCAGGGCGGAGCTGTTGCAGAGCACGTGTAATGGTAGCTTTTCCCTCAGAAGCATCTCAAGTTCAAAGACAAAAGGAAATGTGATCGTGACAGGGATGGCAGAATGTCCTCCTCATGCCACGGTGGAATGCTTAGAGAAAACTGAGAGGGAAAATGCACAGAGAAGAAAAGGAGATGGCCCCGATGCTTACTTAACCCATCCAGAAACAATCAAGAATGCTATTTGGAGCCGGGCTGGTGAAAGCAGAGAACCCTGGAGGAGGCAAGCTGTGCTTGCTCTGGGTTCAGGAACCATGAAATGGGGACCCTCAGTGAGGCTGGGTGCGCAGAGACAGCAGATGAGCTACCTCGGTTCGTCAAAGAGCATGGGGGACATGGTGAGGCTGGGTAAGAGGCTAAGTGCTCAGAGCAGCAGAGAGGGTGCGTGCAGGACAGGATCTGCGATCCTAGGAACGGGGCAGCAACCTGCGCACCTCCTCCAGATAGACATCTTCGTTCCAGTTGCCCATCCGGACTCCAGGGCCATACAAGTTCTGCGCCGCCATCCTCGCTGCTCAGTCAGAAAGCCAGCCTCCCAGGACACCAGCGTTAGCGTGTCTCGTTGCCATGACGACCAGGCAGTTCCCGGTTGGTCAAGGTCCTTTTGGCTAGCCAATAAGTGACAGCACACTAAGTGGCTGGTTCCGCCTTAGGCTGCTCCGCACCCTCCACTTCACCCTACCCCTCCCATCACTGGCACAAGTGAGGACCTCAAAGCAGATCGAGAAATCCCGGGGAAGACACTGTTCCAAGTGCTCTCTAGGGGGGATAAGTCTTGAAACTTTTTTATGTCGTTTGTCTTGGATTGGGTCTTTAAGTCAGCGTCTGGATACATATCCCAGGCTGGTCTTGAACTCATTATGTAGCACAGTCCGGTCTTGAGCTGGAGATCTTCCTGACTCTGCCTCCTGGTGCTAGGATAACAGGTGTGTGTGCACTAAATGGGCATGAAACGCTTTTTGCTTTTTAAATTGGGATCTAAGTGAAAGCACTCTCAAAGTGGGGCGCCCCTAGCCTTCCTGTGGAAGCGTGGTTCAACGCCAGCCTATTTTTCTAATCACTGTCAGCAGCAACCTCACAAAGCAGCATCTCGTCACTCTAACACAGGAAAACCAAAACATAAAAGGAGGGGACGTTAGTCAAATTTCACAGCTTCCGAAGGAAGAGACCACTGTGTTAGCACATTTTCTGTATACGTTTCTGAGGTAGTCCATGTTTTCATGGATTTTATAGCAACCCTCCCCTCCCAGTATCCAAACGCAAGGGCAAGCCTGTGAGTTGCGGGAACTCTTGGTAAAACCAAAGTTTGCCGTAGCCAACATTTCTTCAAGAGGATATTGTCTTAGGAGTAAGGGGGAATAAGCAGTTAGGTAGAGCCACCTGGTGCTGGCTGCTGACTGAATGCATCCATGAATGCCCCAATGTCCAGAGCCTCCCAACGCAGCAAGAAATGGAAGGTGGAGGGAGGCCAAACCCAGCCTCACAGGGAAGCCAGACCCTGAAAACAATTTGCTTCAGGAGATTGTAATACACTCAAGCCACTGAAGAAATGATGAAGAAGGGACTGGAGGGCTTACAGATGAGTCATTATTGCCCCATGGGTTGTGAGGATGACTACAGGGCAAACTTGGGGAAAGCGGGTTCTTTGTGGACCTGGAAGGACCTGAGCTCGGAAGCCGCAGCACAGGGCACAAATAGGAACACTCTGCTCTCTGTGGCTCCACCGAACTGCCCCTCCATGGCCACATTCTAAGGTATTTCCAAAGACGCTAAGTCAAACATTTCATTGGATCAGACACGAGTCGCTTGGGGTGTGTGATGAACTGGAAAGAGACTCGGTGGAGTTAGCAGTATACCCTAGTTCAAACTGCTCAAGGCAGCCTTGTGGCACATGGTGAACAATAGACATCCTGCGCACCTGTTCACACAGGAGCGTAATCATCTGAAAGCAGGCTGTTGCCTAGTGATGCTGCAGCAGGGCCGTCAAAGCACAGAGCCCTGCTCACGTGTTTCTGGTGCTGCTGCTGTAGAAGAAAAGCCTGTGCGCTGTTGGCTGAACAAAAGCGAAGCACACACAGTTATGGAAAGCACAGAAGGCCCGTAGTGGCACTAAACGACTGTGTTACTGGCTGATTACTTACCCCTGTTTTAGAAGGTATGCCTCCTGCTTATTACAGGGGACTGTGAAGCAGTGTGTGGGGTTACCCTGTCAGCCATATCCTGCAGCTCATACTGGAACATCTCCAGACTGTTTAATTTGCTCTTGTGCTGTTCTGGTCACTATCACGCAAAGCATTCAAAGCCAATGCTGATGTTGGAGAGGAGCTGATGTGGAATGATTGACCTGGAAACAAAGTTCCATGTGATTTTTTTTTTCCTCAAACCACAAACCAATAATGGTTATTCCTCGCCCGTCAATCATGTCCAGATTCACTACAGCTAGTATTGAAAAGCATGAAAACCATTGGGGATTGGGATTCACTAAAGGTAATAACACTAACAGAAATTTGAGGACAGCCAATAGCAGATACGGAGGAACTTTAAGATCCTGGCTTGAACACCAGCACTGATGTTTGCACAGTGAGGCAATTACTTAATAATACAGCCCTCGGAAGTGTATATACAGCTTCAGCCAGGTATGCTGGCACACGCCTGTAATCCCACCACTCACCATGTGAAGGCAGAAGGATCAGGTGTTCAAGGTCATCCTCAAACACAAAGTAGGTTTGAGGCCAGCCTATGTGAAAATTATGTCAAAAAGGCATGGGGGTTGCTAGAAAGATGGCTCAGCAGTTAAGAGCAAGTATCACTCTGCCAGAGGACCCGAGTATGGCTCTCAGCATCCATGTTGAACAGTTCTCATCTGCCTGTAACTCCGGTACCAAGGAACCTGATGCCTCTGACCTCCCCCAGGCACTGTACTTAGATGCACACACCTACACACATAGCCACATATACTCCTAGTTAAAAAAAAAAAAGAAAAAGATTTTAAATCCCTGTTGGGAAGTATAGGCAGTCAGATCTCTATGAGTCAGAAGCCAGTCGGATCCACTTAGCAAATCAGGGCTATACAGTCAGACCCTGTCTCAAAACACACACACACACACACACACACACACACACACACACACACACACACACCAGACAATTGTACTGTATCCCAAAGCAAAGACTCTATATGCAGATTTCTGACTCTAAAGTCAATGTTGTTCCTATTAAGTGTTTCCATGCTCCCCACAAAATTGAGTGTTAAACAAGGAGACAATGAGGGCGTTGGGGCTGGACACCTCTCTCAGGCAACAGCCCATGAAATAAGGACTGAAATAGCAGGATTTTTACTGCCTTTCAGAATAATGGGATCTGAGTCCTATCTCTGACCCTGGAAGGAGATGAGATATCCTAAGCTGCCTACAAGGTCATTAATAGACAGCATTTTAAAACCGACTCTGGGAGCCTTGAATCTCACAAGATTACTGTGCACCAGGAAGCTGTCCTGTAAAGAACAAAAGCACTTCTCCTTCCTGTAGGAATCACCCAAAGGGGTCTGCCAATCACTTGGACAAGACAAAATCTCTCAAGCCATTTTTGAGGTCATAAAATATTTAGTTTAAATATAATTACACACAAAAAAATTTGTTTACATTCCTTTAAAACCCTCAAAACCAAGACTTAAACTTTACATTACTCACTCACTGATGACCCTGTGTGGCTGACTAAATCTGACTTGCTAAACCTGCTCCCCACACACCCTCTACTTTATAACTGTGATTTTGACATAAAGCAGCCATATACTAAAAAAAAATTTGTATATATTGGCTATTTGTGTGTGTATGATTTGATGAGGCATAGGGAACTTTGATTGGAGTCTTTTATTACTTACTTGTAAGACCTCTGGTAGAAAAAAAAAGAAAAGCCGGAGAAACACTTGAAAAGAATCACGTCCAGTAACGAGAACAAAGTGGAACAAAGTTCAGACACTGGGAAAGAGAACCAGGAGACATGTGTTAAAAACAGATTCTAGAAGTCCTCAGTATGTGGATGGAAGGCAGGTCAGCCCAGGGTCACACTGAAAGCCAGATAGAACAGCTTTTCCATTAGCTGTACCAGCACAGTCGTCTCTGGGCCTCAGAACTGTCCTCGCTGGTAGAAATGGGAGGTTATTGTACTGCCAACACTCTGGAGGGCATGGCCAGTTAATAGATACGAAGGAGAAAGAACTTGGCTGTCAACTTAAGGTGGGAAGTAAGGAGGGTTCTTGGTCACAGAGCTTCTCAGAGTCTTGGGTTCAAGGCAAGCCCTGGGAATCTACGACAGAGCTCAGAGGTGCAACATAGCCCAAGTTCATTTCAACACAGAATCTGTTTCCTCGGGGTCATCTTGTAAAATCAACATTTTAAGAAGCACTGACTATATCTGAAAAAAAAATTTTTTTTTGAGACAAAGCCTTGAATAGCCCAAGCTGGCCTCATGGTATAGACAGGATGACCTTGAATTTCTGATCCTTCTGCCTTTACTTCATAGGTTCTGGGATTCCAGGCACACACCACCACATGGGGTTTGTGTGGTGCTGGGGATTGGATACAGGACTCTATGTATGCTAGGAAGCACTCCAACAATTGAGCTAAATCCCCAGTTCACAGACTTTCTTTTGAGACTTGCAACTCTTTGTGGGGCCCAAAACTGGAACTTGGAATCCCCCTACATGAACTTCCTAAGCCCTGGGGTGACAGGTGTGCCTCCACCACACCAAGCCCAGCACCGTGAAACAAATTAAAGAGGAAAACTGCTTCCCACCAGACAGATGCCATCATGAACACTCTAACTGTGACGCTAACTGGCATCACTAAAGTGCTGGGCAGGACGAGCTCACAGGGACAGTGCACGCAGGTGTGCATGGGATTTATGGCAGCACCAGCTACTCCACCAAATCTAAGGTGAAAGGTCCAGTACACAAGAGTAATGTGCCTGCCCTAGTGGGGTCAACACAGAGGCTTGGAAGTTGTGCTGAACTTGGTGCTGGGTCCTAGGTATCCATCCTTGGGATGACCCACAGCTGGTATATATAAATAAAGAGTTTGCATTGTATTGGAAGAGAGAGGAGGGGGAAGTTTTCTTTGGGTTCACAGCATCAGAGGTTTGGTCTGTGTCACTTGGCCCCATGACTGTTGGCCTGTGTTGAGGCAGAGCATCGTGGCAAAAGAGGAAGATGTGGTGAGACAGAGCTCTTCGTCTCATGGAAGACAGGAAGCAGAGATAAGAAGGGGCCCCAGACAAGGTATGGCTACCCTGGGGACATCCTGCATCTTCTAACTAGGCCCCCTAACTTGTACAACTAAGTTCCAAAATAACAGCAACAACTTGGGGACTGAGCTTTCAACACAGGAGCCTATTAGGGGACAGTTTATATTCAAATTATAACACCAACTCAAGTGATTTTTGAGGCTCAAAGGACACAATAATAAAAAAAAGAAATAAGATTTGGACACAAAGAAGTAGGAATAGCAAAAAAAAAAAAAAAATCCTTTCAGGCAAAGAAACAGAGTAAAGAGAGTCCAGGAGTTCATGCAGGGCAGAATAAATAAAATAAATAGAAAGGGAGCAGAGAGGAAAGGGGAAAAGGGCGTTTGGCGTTAATGCAAGGCCTATGGGTACTCTTCTAGAGGCAGTGTGAAATTTCTCAGAGGAAACTGGTAAAGAGCAGAGTCCGGCTGTGGAAGTCCACTGTGGCTCCAGGCTGGTGTACAGATTGAAGGCAGGCAGCCCAGGAACCTGTTAGGAGACACCCAGGAAGAAGGGATGCCGTGACAGTGGGAATGGAGGAGTGGAAGAGAATGAATGAGAAGAGAATCAAGTTACCCTCACCAGATGTGGGAACCCAGGTGTGCAATGAGGGAATCCAAATGCGTTTGCATTTATCTGAGACTCACCTGGGCTTTGCCTGGGGAAAGAGAGCTAAGTGAAAAGAGACTCTCCGTCCCTGTCTCTGTGGAGAGTCAGAAGGAGGAAGCCCTTCCGCACAGTGACGGCAGGCAGGGGGTGTCCGGTGGGTACAGGGAAGACATCTCTAAATGGAAGTTGACTCCCCACTGAAGAGTCCTCTGATACAGAAGGCAAGGCACCAGAAATGGTCCTGCTCTAACGGAGTGACGTAATTTTCTTTAATGTTTCCTCCAACCAGGACATCTATTCCCACCCCCTCAACCAAGAACATATACTGCTGACTCAGCAGACAAGAGCCTTCAGGTTTTTATGTCTCCATCTGGGTTTCTCTTCTGTTTTCATTCAACTCCTCCAGGCCACATGAACACCATATATCTCTCCTGAGCCAGGCATGACCCCTCCTCCAGAGCCTAGCATTCACCCCCACGAACAGCTAAGTTACCTGGACTCTCTCAATCAGAACTTGGCTGTCTAGCGCCCAGCCTTTGGTCCCCTCAACAGTGCAAACATCAGATCCCCACTCCTGAACACCCTGAAGTCTTGACCCCAGGAGAAATGTCCTGCTTTCCAGCTCCTTACCTTTCTCATTGTGAGCAGAGAAGAGTGGTCCCTGGTGTTAGGATTCTGTACACGTGAAGATTGGGTCTAACATCTTACATCATCAGCAGGCGCTGACGCAATCCCCGCCTTAAAAAGCCGGACTCGGACCCCCACCCTCTTCTTTCTGCTTCCTCTCTGCTCTCTGCTCTGCTCCCCGCTTCCCTCCCCCGCCAGGCCTGGCTCCTCCTTCTATCCCTTATTTCTTTCTAATAAAGCTCTATATAACTCTGGTAATCGTGACCGTGGCCATGACTTTTCTGCTGACCAACCAGCGCCGTTCATCCTTTCCCTTAGGAAAAGGAAGCCTTTTCTTCTTCTCAACACTCTGGTGGCTTTAGAAATCCAAGGGCAGGCAGCTTCAGGGCTGGGTTTGGAAGCCAGGGCTAGAAGAAACCAAATAGCCTTGCCGGGAAAGAAAAAAAAAAAAAACAACCAGAAAACATGTTTTCTCACATAGAAGGTAGACTCTGCAGAAGCAGCTGACCCCCAGAGCAGGGGAACGGAGAGAGAGGGCAGAAGCCTGCTGGAGACCCACAGATGTCCTTGGAGGACTCCAGCTTTCAGCCAGCATGAAGGTGGAGCTTCAGGCCCTGTCTTCTGGGATCCCAAACCAGAGAGGCCCTGGAGCTACAGAGGGAATGTATCTTCTAAATCACTGAATATTTATTTCAAACTTCATCCCCACCACCCCCTTTTCAAGCAGAGGCAAGGCAAACCTAAATTGCACATAATTACCAGATTTAAAAAGAGGAGTAGTGGCTGGGCGGTGG